CCTTAAAGCCCTAAACCCCTAGACCCTAAAATACAGAATACCAGAGAAGCCTCAACTTTCAGACCGAATCGACAGCCCAAGCCCTGGCTTCCCTGTGAGCCCACCAGGCGGTGGCAGACACGGAGAAGGAGGAGGAACGACTAGAAAGGCTCCACAAGGTTTAGGGTTTAGGGTTGCTCGTTTTAGGGTTCAGGGTTTAGGGTTACTCGTTTTATGTTTTAGGGTTTAGGGTTACTCGGTTTAGGGTTTAGGGTTACTCGTTTTAGGGTTTAGGGTTACTCGGTTTAGGATTTAGGGTTTAGGGTTGATCGTTTTAGGGTTTAGGGTTTGGGGTTTGGGGGCTCCAGTCGGACTTTCGGGGTGTCGGGCTTTGGGTTTTAGCGGTTGCCCGGGGTCATGACTTCGAACTTCGCAGCTCAGAGTTAATGTAGGGAGATGTAGCGATGGCTTGTCTTGTTTGGCTAGTCTTAGTCTTTTCCGTATGCTTAGTCTGGGAGAATTGCTCTCTCGGGGGCTGCAAATATCTTAATTCCAGCAATAGAAACGTAAAATCTCATGACCGGATGGCCTCTAACTTGATATCAAGTCCTACAGCCTTTGACTTTTTGGTTCCTCCTTCCGGCCTGGGCAAAGGGTGGAGGCGAGAAGGTGGGCCTGAAGGTCTCAAGGCTGCTTCGGAGGAGTCTGGGAGGAGATCCTGAAATTTGGGGGTTTCCGAGAAGAGGGGACCCTAATATAGTACCCTAAATAATAGGATCCTTATTAAAAGGATTCCAAAATAAGGTACCCCTTATTTTGGGAAACCCCCATTTAAGCCCTTGAGCCCTGAACCAGAGAACGTTTACTTGCAGGGCGCTGGGCGCCATAGACTTGTGACCGGGGATGACCTTGCCTGCTCTTCTGCTGCTTTCCCAGCCCGTATGTGCCGTCAACAGGCGAGTCCACCAGCGCATGGACGAAAAGCGGAAGCTCGAGGAGAAGTTGGAGCAGGCAGCCGTGGCAAACAATGGCACGATGCAAGAGTAGCAGTAGCCATCCTGCATTCTGAGACTATCAGTCGTGGTCGTGGTGCGTTGTGGCTGTCGCGGTTGTTGTGTGTTATCTCGACCACCAGTACCATCACCAGCATCCACCACCACCACCACCACCACCACCACCACCACCACCACCATCACCACCATCACCACAATCAACACCATCAGCACCATCGACACCATCGACACCACGACACCATCGACACCATCGACACCATCAACATCAACACCATCAACACCATCAACACCGTCAACACCATCATCACCATCATCACCATCATCACCATCATCATCATCATCCTCATCATCCTCATCCTCCTCATCCTCCTCATCCTCCTCATCCTCCTCATTGTTAATTCTTCAAAAAATATATACCAATTAATATATAAATTGTAATTATTATACACGAAATATCCGGTCACGGTTTGGTTATGAATCTTTTACCCGGTCCCGTATTTTTCGCCGCTTCGAGCCCTTCTGATACCCGAACACTACCCCCTATAGTAGGGTTTAGGGTTTAGGGTTTAGGGTTTAGGGTTTAGGGTTTAGGGGTTTAGGGTTTAGGGTTTAGGGTAGCATGTATGGACCCCATACCCCTTATAAAGGCTCTTGGTGGCGTTTTGGGTGTCATCGCCATGGCAGGAGCAACACAAGAACCAGAAGTTCGCACAGGACTCGGGAAGCTCGCGAACCCTAGTATAGGGGCCTCAATAATTGCCTATACTGTTTTGGGAGTTCCTTATTGTGGTTATACTATAAAGGACCCTGTATTGAGTCATTGAGGCCCAAACAGAAGTTCCTTAAACCCGCAACACAGAGAAAGCTTGCCGCAGCATACCGAAAGGCATTCAACACCCTGAATTTTCCTGGCCACCAGCTAAGCCCTAAACCCCAAACCCTAAACCCTAAACCCGAAAGCCCGAACCCTGAACCCCAAACATCAACGCCTAAACTCTGAAACTCCCAGGGTTCTTCCACGACTTCGGACCAAGCTTAGGTCGAAGTCTGACGGACCTAGGTTCGGAGTCTTTCCCCTTCATAGGCCTGAAGCATTACCCATCTTACCTTTTTCTTTCAGGGTTCCGAGTATGAATCCAATAGTGCCGTAGCACTATGGGCTTCTTGCCTTTGGTGTACCGCGTTCTTTTCCAATCCCGCTCGGGCCCCGTCCACCGGGCATGAAGACTCCAATCTTTTGGGGCCGTTCCAACTTGATGAACCTCGATCTCACGACAGTGCCGTGCAGAACTTGTCGATGGAAATCGCCTCCCTGCCGCAACCCGTGTCCTTTGCAGGGCCTTGTGTGGCTCCGATAGTGTTTCCTGTGTGGCCACCGTTCTAAGGGGCTTTCAGAGTTGGCAATCGTAGTTAATTAGCGGGCCTCCAGAAATCCCACTGCCGTGCCTGCTTTGCTGCGACACGTGCTTCCGCCTCCAAACACAACGCACCCGCCATAGTCCCGTCATGGGTAGTTAAAACTGGCGTTAAGACAAGAGTCCCCTAATATGGATTATAATTATAGTTACCCTAATTATAACCACACTACGTAGGCATGATAACGCTTTTATCAAGCTGTATGAGGGCTTCCTTTTTGTTTTTGTGGCCTTTCTAAAGGTGTTATGGAGTCCTGAACAAGCGTAGGAGCGCCTGACAAAGCCTAGGTGGTTTGGAGCTGTAGGTTAGGAGGAGGGTTTGGGCTGTAAGTTTTCGGTTGCATGCCTTCACCAAGTGTGGTCCGCAGCCTTTTGGGTGCAATATGGCGGCTTCACTGATTTTGAGGAACAAGTCCTGGAAAACCCTATAACTCCCTATAAAGAGCCCTATAAACCCCTACAAAGCCTGGAAAACCCTATAACTCCCTATAAAGAGCCCTGCAAACACCTGGGTGCAGGAGAGCGAGGAGAAGGAGCGTTTGCTCAAGTGCCGAAGGCCGCTAAACCCTAAACCCTAAACCCTAAACCCTAAACCCTAAAAGCCTCTGCCACATGTGGCATTCGACCTAACTAACTCAGGCAGGTGGAAAGGAGGTGACAAAAAAAACCTAAAAGCCCATCCCGAGCTTCCCTAGAGTTTGGCGGAGTTTAGGGGGAGTTTTGTGTTTAGGATTTAGGGTTTGGATGTGCCTCTGGGTTTACGCATTCTTTGCTATTTCCCAGGAAGCCAACGAACCTGATAATCAAAAACAAAATTCATACATTTAACGTTTTTCGCGAGTCTTGGCAGGTCTTCCGAGAGTGTTGCAAGGTGTGATAACGGTATATCACGGGTATTTTCAGGGCAACACCCTGCAATTCTAGAACAGGGCTGCTTACTATGAGGTAAGGAGTATTAGTTGGGTTTCATGGGTAGTGAGAAGGGGGTTATCAGAAGGATAATCGTAATTATTTCTAATTAAAACCCATATTAGGGGACATAACCCCATTTATACCTACCGATGCACCTCCAAGTTCTGACTTAGAGTTGGTTCTCCGGGTTCCAGGTTCTAGCACTTCTCCGTGATCATAATGTATAGACCTTCGGATTCCCCGCTATGTCTCCCCAACCCGCAACCCCAAACCCTATGGCTGCGTATAACCCTAAATCGTAAACCCGAAGCCCTAAACCCTAAACCCCATACAAGCTGTCAGAATTGCAGTCTCTTCATGTAGTACCAGGCTTTGTGAAGCTAGGACGCGGGACTCTTCATAGGGAGTATCTGACGGCCGCTGTTAGAAAAGGAAGCTTGTCATGTGGGGTTAGTCATGATATAGACCACAGTGCATGCACATGGTTCTGCGGTGTGCATCGAGACCTGGAGAATGTAGGGCTTGGTTTATAGTATAATATTAACCTAAACCCTACGCCTCTATCCAAAAAAAACCCTGTACGCGAAAATTTGCTGAGTCCTGGAAGATGGTGAGACCTTAGAAATTCAGGTTCAATGTTGGGTCTCCAGGGTTTGACGTCCATGCGGCTACAATACTACTGAGAAGTCCACATGTAGCAGAGAGCTGTAGCCGAAAAGACCTACCTTTTTAGGGTTCCCCATTATGGTTGCTATATATGGTTTCTTAAGAAGGTAGGTCTTTTGGGCCACAGGCAAGCTTTAGCTCTTGGGATTTTGACTTTGCGAGGCTTGGTGTCGTTAAACCCTCAACCCGAACCCGCCCAATTGGCCCAGAGTCGCTTTGGATAAGAGGCACCTCGCAAAGCAACCCCCAAATTTGGCAAACCCAAAACCGAAACCCTAAACCCTGAAC